CGAGTTTTAGAAAAGATACGAAGTTGGCCAAGCTGTTTCTAAAAAATGTTTCTCCACTTACCCTTTGGGGACCCTCTTCTGAACATCTTCCAACCAGACACTTCTGAAAGCATGCCAGTTCCTCAGTGCTCCACCTTGATTTGCCTCCCCTTATACTAGGTGGCTCTAGAAACTTCCTAATGCCCCACTCTGGTCAGAAGCCTGTCCAGAGCCTCTCTCAGGGCCATGCTTCAGGTCAGGGAGACTCGAAATTGTACCAAAATCTGTCGATGTATGTGTTACATCCAGGAAAAGCATTTTAAAAAGGAGACATCAGAAAATGTGTTTTTAATTAAATGTAAATTAATTTGGCAGCTTTCATTGGATAGTTATCTTTTAGGTTTCCATATAAAACCAGATATAATTGTGATCGCTAAGTCAAATTATTAGCTAATAGCCCTTTTACATTTACCTGCAAAAGTAACATTTTTACTGCACAAAGGCCATTTGCCACATAGGCAACATAGGATGGTACGGTGATGGCAATTATGCCCACGCAAAGATGAAAGAGTTAGCTCCATTGCTTGCGTCTCACATGCTGTCGATTTTCCTCAGGTCATAACTCTACAAGTTCTGAGCAACTCAACTGCAATAGAAGGACAGCCAGATACAGTGCAAAGAGCATAGGGTTATGCAGTCTGGTGGTCCACCTGACAGACTTCCAATCCAACACTGCCTGTGCTACCCACCAGTCATGTGACCTTGGGAGGTCCCTTAAACTATACCATAGGACTAACAATACCAACTCTCAAGGATGTGATAATGAGGTAACACATGGTAAGCTCCTGGTTCATTGTATGCCTCCAAATGTTAAGTTTCCTTCCTCCTCCTCCTCTGGGATGCTCCCTTGGAGATGACTCCAAAGCTACCGATTAACTCAAAGCAAGACCCCTGCTCCTGCTCGGTCCCACTGCTCACCTTGCTTCAGTGGTACTGTCTCCACCTCGCCGACACTGCTGAGGTCAGATGAGTAAAACTCCAACAATAACAAAGGCTTTACACAGAGAGAGGTGCATGAATAAATATCCATCTGTGCTCTTCACAGACAGAGGAAAATGATCCCTTTTCTGTTCTTTGAAACCAAGTCTTGAGCTAAGCGTGGTAACAGTGCATATTGCCCAAAGTGGTAATAGTCTGGCGTAGATTTTGCTTAGAAAGTGGGTCTTCAAAATTTGGAAAATGCACTTATTTGTAAAACTCTAAGTGCAACTTAAAAAAAATGATGTGTTACATCACTTTTTTTTTTAGTGTCTCCCCCACCTCACCCCCTGCTGTTCCCATAACTGATGTAGAAGTAATTTCATGAGCTAACTAGGATGGTTTTACAGGTGTGTGTTTGGCATTAATTTTAATTTCTGTTCACATACAAGTTATTACTGCTCACTCTCATGAAATAGTTTATTCCACCATAATATATACCTTAATGAAAGCCATATTTTTGGGTAATACATGAATCTGTCTAAGAATAAGTGATTAAATCGTCTGTCATCCTGTTATAGAGCTTTCTTTAATAGCTTTTTGTTGTTTTGCAAATAAATTAGAAATGCCATGTTGTTTCCACCAGACATAAGCTGGCGATGACTTGTACAAAAATCACTGACAAAAAGTTCAGAGGCATTTGAATGTCTTCTGGGTTGTAAATACGAGGTTTATCTTTACTAGAAACTGGGGTGAAGCAGGAGATGCGAAGCAGCATGTTCAATTAACTGGTCACCCTGATAATTTTCCTTGGTGCGTGTGATGCACACACATTCTACATTACTGCCATCTTTCGTAGCTTTCACTCGTGTTGTCTCAAGGTTGCACAAATGGTAAATTCTTCCTAAATGACTGATTTGATTAGATTAAATTATTTAGGATTTTCTGAACTGCTTTCTGAGTGAGTTACAACGAGGCAAGGTGTCTAACAACCCGCCAGGAAATTGCTGCAAATTCAAGCTTCACAATGAACAATTCTTCCAAGTGAACACTTTCAAACACTGGGCTCAGTATCTTCCATCAAGAACAAGAACCACCAACAGCAATACAAACAACAACCAGAATCTTTTTCCCTTCATCGTGTTTCCGATCTCTAGGAACTGCAGGACATCTACCAAATTTCCCAAACCAGGCACTTTGACGTCAGGCTGGATTTACCTGAGAATCATTAAATCCTTTTTATTACCATCTTACTCTCTTTGATAGGTCTGTCCATATTCATGGCCATCGCCTTACTCAGGAGTCTATGAATAACACTCTGGGATCTTCTTTAGATCCCGCACCTCCAATGAGCGGCCAGAGAAACTATCAACTGCTCATCTGGACCCAGAAATCTTGTTTAGGAACCTTTCATTTAATACCTACTGATCCAGGGTACAATCCAAATTCATTAGTGACATATTGAAAAACGTCATGATTTGGTCCTGGTTTATTTTCCAGTCTCATTTCTTACTGTTTCCTCTCTTTGCCCTTCCCTGACCACCTCATTCTACTTTTCTTTTACCTACACTCGCGTATAGATTTTCCACTTTGAATGCTTCTTACCCATTCCCCTGGCCTTCATCACTTTGCCTTCGGAGTTTCAGTTTGGGAATCATTTTCTCCACGAATCTTCCCTTTGTGGGCTGGTCGGCTGCCTCTGCAAGTTATTCCCCACACGCCCCCGTGCTTAGTCCACTTCAGTCTTCCCAGCCTCCCCCACCGAGCTGAGGGCCAGCCGTGCGATGAGTTCAGGGTCAGCCCTACCAGCTGTGGTTCTGTCGAGACCGACTTACTTACTGGTTCTTCCACCTCCTCCAATACACACTCTCCTTCAGTTATTTTCATGGAGGTCTCCCCAGAGAACAAGACTGACAGCATCCATGCAGCCACCGGGCACTAAAGTCTAAGATTTTACGACTACAGAGTCAGTGCCCCATAGGCCCCCATCAAAAATAGTTCATGGGGAGGGAAAATGATCGTCTGGCTTGTACAGAATCAGTCTGCTTTGTCAGAGATTCCTTAGCAGATTATGTCCGCACATTTTTCAAACTGAGCTAACACAGTCCTGAACGGTCCTCGGGCTGAGGGACAGGCATTAAAGTCAGGGCTTAGGACAGTTTTGCTCTGTGAGAGCATCTTTCTTGGCCACAGTTTATCTCCAGAATTGACTTTGGCCTGGTCAGATTTGAGAGGGCTTTGAGGAGCGACCTGTGAATGAGAAATCCAATCCACTACATCCAATAATCGATTTAAAAAAAACAAAACAAACCATGCACAGATGTTAAACAATGGTTATCCTTTGCTACCTAAGGAACATCATACACTTCTCTTTCTTTCTTTCTTTTTTTCTTCTGGGATCCAGACTCATGAACCACAGAGTTTAAACAGAGATCTGATTTTTAGATGTTTTGTGGCCTTAGGAAATTTAAATAAGCTAAATCTGATGTTGCATATTATTATTTTTTAAATAAGAGTAAAAGGAAGAAGCAATCATTGATTCATTATGAACTCCCTGCCCCCCAAGTAGATCACCCTCAGCTCATGTATAACTTTTTCCCAATACATCTTTGCTTACAGCCATCCTTGCTCTTTATTTTCATGAATTATTAGGCCAGCAAACACTCCATGTAAGTTGTAAAAATTTACATTGGTCCCATCTAAACTTACCTGTATGTTCTCTTTTTCTTTTTTTTTTAAATCTAGCTTTACCATTTAAAATTTCTTTTATTCCAAATCATGATCATATAAATGTTTTCCAATGGTTTATGCATTCATTCAACAAACGTTTCTGAGTACCTACTATACGCCAGACACTTTCTTAGATACTGGTCATACAGAAGCGAGCTAAACAAAACCAAAACTCTCTGCCTTCACAGAACATACATTCTAGTGGGTGAGACATCTAGTGCAAAATATAAATAAAGTACGTGTCACGCTGGGTAATTGTTAAGTCTAAGGATTAAGTACTATTAAACAGTAAAGCAAGGAAATAAGGGAAGTGTTGGGTGAGCATGTGCAATTTTAGAGACGGGGACCTATTCATTGATTTGGAGGCTAACGTTTTAAAAAGTTGAGAATGAGGTTGGTCTGAAATTTCCCTCTGGTTTGCATCTGAACAACAGATCTGCAAATAAATCAATACTATACACAAGATAATAAGGGAGCTGTGATTTAACGGATTTATGTTTCAGAAAAACACTCCTTTTATCACCTTTGGAAGCTACTTATAAACCATGTCCCATATTCATCGAAAAGAAACTTGCTTTAAATATTCCAAATGGTATCATTTTATCCCTAATGAAGTGTGACTACATGACACATGACATTTAAATGTAACTACCTATATGTAAAAAACTATGTTAACTCACATCTTTTCAGTACACCTGCCCACTTTCAGTCTTAATTTGTGACATTTTACTGTGTGGCATCTCAGCTTGCCTTAAGTGGAAATTGTGTGATTTAGGCACAAACCAGAGGAGGTAAGAGACGGCACGAACCTAACCACCAACTTCACGTTATTTAGAACTGAGTCAAATACAACAGAAACTCTACAACATGGAGGGTGAAGAAAATGAAAACATTTCCAAAGGTATTTATTGAGAAGTAGTAAAGATGTACATATTTTTACAAGCTTTTAATATTAATTTACATTTTTTAAATTATGTAAGCCCCAATAATCTATATTTTACTAATACGTAATAGAAACCCTTGACTTTGTGAGGTTTCCATATTGCTACCATTACTGTGGTTGGGAGGCAAAATGCAACTTTGGCTCAAGATGCTTGTTTGTTTTGAAAAGAAATACTAAATGCCATATTCACTGAGAATGTAGGCTTGTCATAAACAAATGTGCATTACAAACACCAAAAACCCTTCATACTGGAGCATTCTGTTGGTACTATTTTGAATCTTAGCTCACCAGAGACTGAGGAAAAAAACATTTTAAGGGAGTTATTATCTACTGTTTGTGCACAAACTGCATGATACTAATTTTTTTTTGATCTGAATTTGATTTATAAATCTTTGCAGGGGAGAGTGACTTAATCTTGTCTGTTACACTCCTGTAGCCAGGCCACCTGTTCTTCGGAGGTAACACAAGGTGGCTGGTTACCTGCCCTGGTGATGTACCAAGTTTGTACACATAGGAGCCCAAAACCCATTCTGGTGACAGAACACTTCTCAAATCGGTTTATAATAAGGCACAATATTCTGTATGTCAACAGCATGTGGGAATTGCCACAGGGGCTGGCTTTTGGTTTGTTGATTTATTTTTTTGTTTTTCAGATCAGAAAGGAAGAGGATCTTGGGTTCCTAAGCTGGGAAGGGAAGCTTTCTGGTCTGAAGTCGCATGACAAACTTGTGGGCCCAGTGGCCTGCACCACCGTTGTACCAGACAAGCTGTTCTCTGTCAACCTAGCATTTAGGTTTAATATTGGCAGCCTTTCGGAACACATAATCGGAGAAGATGTCTGTGAGAAACAGCACTGGTGATGCCATCAGTGGCCCTTCTCTTCGCCCTGTGAAGGGGCGTTCCTTTCTGTATCTGCAGGTTTAGCAGCATAAACCTTGCTTGTTTGATATGAAAAATAATTTAAAATTTAGATGTAATGCCGCAATTCTCTCATTTAAAGAAACAACTGGCTAGAAAGTAAAGGAAATTTTGTCTTATTCACAGTAATAAATATTTAAGGTTTTAGTGCACAAAGTAGATTTGAGTATCGATAATCAATGCAGCTCTTTAATTTTGTCAACTATTATTTGCAAGCTAAAGGCCAGGAGAAATGGAAGATTTATTATTAGTATTATTATTACTATTATTAGTACTGTTAGTAGTATCCCAACCTTTTTTTGTCTGTAACATTACTTGGGGCAGAGGTAGCCAAAAGCTACAAAATTTAAAGAAGAAGTTTAAGGTCTATATGTGATGAAATCACAATCTTAAAATCTGTGAAATTGGTTCTCAGTCTCTTTCTGCCCAGTGTAAACATGGCCTTAGCATACAGTAAAGAAATACAGGTTTATAGCCTGGGAAATAAAATCACATTTCCATAATGAATGTTGTGATCAGTGTACAAAGCCCTAATCTTAGGGGAGCCACGGAAGCATGAGATTATGATTATCATGGACCAGACTCTGATTAGGGCCACTGCCTAGAAGCTGGACTCCAGGTTCCACAGTGTGACATTTTAAACACAGGACTGCAGGTGTAGACACCAGTAAAACATTCCTGGATCTTGAAAGTCTTAAATTTCCACAAGGGAAATCATGTCATAGAAAATGACAGGAGAACCTGTATCGTGTTCTTAACATGGGCTACACACCAAGGAAAAAAAAAACAAAAACATGCAAACACAACGATGACAGGCTCTCCTTGCACTGAATGAAGTCCATTGTGCAGTAATGGTACAGGCAGAAACCAAGGTGTGCAGGTCTGTAATGGAGAGAAACTGGATTGATGTGTTAAGACGGAGAACCAGATACTATTTCACTGTTGTGACTTTAGTAATGCTGCCAAGATCCGACTCACTTGTTAATTTCTTTTATGATCAGAGTCTAGGTAAAATTTTCATTGATTCACTTCTTTCCTTAGAAACCATCTGGGCATTCACCTTCCACTACTGATGACACTTCGTTTTTGCAATGGCATTGGGAAGAAATGCACTTAGCTTTCTTTTAAGCCCTGTTCACTCAACATGGATTTAAAGCCATGTTCATGTATATTCTATAAACATTTGGGTGATATTTGCTTATGATTTCCATCAGAATATTTTCCTCTACACAACTTACACGTATCAAAAAGTCAAACTCTAAACAGTGTAAGTCATCATGAATATGGCTCTTAGTTTTCTCCAGTAAAACGGTAGAAAGGGTACTCGAGACTTCAATATACATTTCACTTTCTAAGTAAAGGTCCCACAGTCTTTCCCAAACCTTCCGCTTATGGTTGGATGCACAAATAGTTGCCTCATACAATTATTGGAATTATGAAGAACCCAAATAAAACACAAGCTTTCCTTTATTATTGTTGTTTTCTTATCGCAACAAGTACTTGGTTTCTCGCTGATGCATTATTAAGCTTTGATTACTTGAATTTTAAATTTGGTCATCTTAAGAATGATCACAATGGTTTTTGTCTTTCATTATCTACAGAGATTTTTTTTTTTAACCAAAGTTACATTGTAACACACAAACGCTGTCTTGTCTTTAAGGCACAACACATCAGTATGAACATTCTATTTGTCAAACTTAAAAAAGAGACATTATTAGATTCCCTTTTCCCCACCCGTGTCCCGCCCCAACAAATGAAAGAAAAATTGCATCCACTTTCAAAGTCAGCTACTAATAAAGTCACAGTAAATTATTTTCATCAATAATTTACACAAATTACAGGTCTAGATAGGACTGTCCTTACACAGTCTGAGTGCATTCCAATTCAGATTTTCTGGGCTAGGTAGGCTAAAGTCAGATTCAAACCTCAGGGCTGAGAAGATCTCCCATTTTGAGGAATGTTGTTAAACACCACCTTGTCAGACGGAGACTGTGTTGGTGTTTTGCCAGGGTAAGAGTTCTTTGCTAAAGCTGTTAATTCCAGTTAGAACGACTCATTCGGTGTGGACCAGCAATCTCCACAGACTTTTTTTTTTAAACCATTAAAGTGTTGTAAGTGTAAGACCATAGAGCTTCCTTTCTGTAGCACTAAAGTTTAATTCCGTTCAAGCAATCTGAATTCTTCATTCTGGAATTCTCATTCCAAATATGATTTCATCCTTTAAGACAATTTGTATGTGTAAAGCCAGAGGCATTGAATCACACATAAAAATTCAGTGTACTTGAAATATAAAAAAAAAAAAACAAAAAAACAAAAACAACGGATCTCCAGCTAGAGAACACAGTTACAAATACTCTAATTCCAGTGCTTGATGTAGAGCCAAGAGGTCTGAGTGACTTGATATCCTCCAAAAGGGCATGTTGTGCTGCGTGGGCGAGGGAGGGAGGGAAGAGAGATGGGGAGGGAACGGAGAGAGATCATAACCATGGTCTCAGTGAAGCAGCAGCACACACACGACGCGCAGTTCACCCAAGTTCAAGGGAGGGAGTTCACGGGAGGGACCATCTTATTTAAAGACTCGGTAGCATCAATGGGATATTGTCAAAGTAAAAGAGAAATAGATCTGAACTGTATTTGAATGGTAATGAAAGAAAATAATGAACTTTCTAAAGTAGTTAAAGATTTATTTTGGGAAAGTATCATGACTAATATCGGCATCTGGGAAAGCAAGCTGAGCATCAAAATCATACGTGGCTGAAGGAAAGCATGTTTTAACCACTACATTACTCCTTAAGGTTTATCTCTCGGTTATAACTAAAATTAAAAAATGATAAACTTCCTAGATCCAAGGTTTTTGTCTATTTGAGAGGAAGAGGGTGAATTCCTTTCCACATGAAAAAGAATCTGAAGCTGGACTATATAAGGTAGAAAAACATGTAGGGATGATCAAGTTTCTTGCTTGTCTGGGAGAAGTAATAACTGAAGCCAGCAACGTTGACCTGATTCATTTCGTTGGTGTGGGACTGAGGGGAAGCGCTCCAGCACGCATGCTCAGTGAGGGAGACAGCGCCCTCTGAAGGCAGCGAAAATCAGTTCTTACGGGCAAAAAATTCTTAGACATTACAATATATGTGTAATGTATATATACCAGTAGGTATATGTGGTAGAGTTAAAATTTCACGAAAGGTTGTGATTAGGAAAAAAACACAGATTATAATGAAAACAAGAAAATAAGGTATTATAGCAATTAATAAAACCAAAGCATTGTTTGTAAGTTTGGGCTGATGACATCTTGTAGAACATATATGTATAGAATATATATTTATATGTATAATGGAAATATATATATTATATATGTAACATCGAAAATACACTTTATTATAAAAATTAATAATTAAAATAATAATCACTATTGTTAGAAATTTTTTTTACTGTCTAATATGGTAGCCACTAGCCCAGCGTGGATACGGGGCCCTTGAAATGTGGCAAGTGCAGTTCAAAATGTATGCTGAATTTCAAGGACTTAGAATTTTTTTAAAATGTAAATATCACATTAAGAGTTTTTATATTTACTAGGCATTGAGACAATAATATTTTGAGTATATATTAAAATATATTACTAGAATTAATTCTACCTGTCTCTTTTTAGTTTTTTTTTAAACAAGGGTTCCAAAAAATTTAAAATTACAAATATGGCTTGCATCATATATTTCTATAAAGGAGCACAATTAAAACTTTGAAATTTCTTCTTAAATTGACAAAGCAAACTATGTTTTTAGATCAAATTAAAGCACAGAAATTCACCTCGAAGTAATGTTTTTTAAATTCAGCTCAGATCTATTTGTAATAACAAAATGGAACTTTATATTTCTGCACATGCGATTACAGCTACATCCAAGAAAAGCATGCATTCTGAATACTAGAGAAACCAATCACCTGTGTTTCAAAATAGAGTTATAAGCCTTCACCATCACCAAAACTGTACCTACATAAACAACCATTTGGAAATAGCATTCTAACCGAGGTTTTTACCCACTTGGAGTCATGCCTTTTCTTCCTGAAGTTTAGGATGTAAAGCAGAGGTTTAACAACTGGTATACCAAGTCTAGTTTTCCCGCAATGGATAAGTGGGGTAGACTTTACTAGTTTTAATTTTCAAAGGCATATACTGTTTCTGTTTGGGGAAAGTGAATTTTATCAGCCCTGACCTAGATATGTGTGTTTCACAATGGCTAAAAGACATGCAAAAGCTTGCTGTAGTGGCTGCACTGACTGTTCCTTGCTGTACATAATTATGGTGCCAATGTGAAAAACTGAAACAGCACAGACTCTGGACACTGACAAACTCCAGAAGATATTTCAACTGGAAGGATTTCAAGTAGTAGTTAGCTAGGAAAGTTGTATTTCTTGAGGCTGCATCCCTGACCTCATACAGAATGTCCTTGGGACCAGAGTGCTGTCTTGGGTCACTGACACTGCTAATTTAGACTGAGGTGCACTATGGGAGGCTGAGCCTGCACCAACTCTCTTAATGCTATGGAAAAACTTGGAGAATTTCAGGTATGGCTTCCAACACTTCACTTTCTAAACCTTCTAAAGTGGAAGCTCTTTCTCTTTCTCCATTGTTTGATTTGAATTGACTACAAACATAAATCACTTCTTTTATCTTTCTAGTATCACTATAAACTTTTCTAGAAAACTGTCTGTTGTTTTTTGGGGGGTGTGGGGGTGGAGAGAAACAGAAATCAGGTAAACAGTCCAGTCCGTGCAAGTGTTTAGTGAAGGCTTTATTAGATGATGATCTGAAATCTCCTCAGCATGCTGAGGACAACTTTTGTTCTGTGTAAAGCAATATACACTGCTATGTCCTTGTTTCACAGTACTAATCCATCATTTTTCTTGTTTTATAAATTATATCACTTGTATTCTGGCTAGATGATATATATATTTTTTTCTTTTCTTCTTTTGTTTTGGTTAGTGGAGGTACTGGAGATTGAACGCAGGACCTTGTGCATGCTAAGCATGCGCTCTACCACTGAGCTATACCCCCACTGGCTAGATGATATTTTGCTATCATTCAGTGAAGGAAGCAGTAGATCTCAGTGTTGTGTTGGCTGATAGCCTGGTATCTGGGGCCAATTTTGGTATCATTCTCCTTTTGATACTAAACCAACCATTTAATGTTTTTTTTTAATTGCCTTGATTTCTCCAGAAATTCGGGCCAGATGAAAAGGCTGATTTAAATACCTAGGGCCTATGAGATCTTCTGAATATATTCACAGCCAGCTGCTTGGCTTCAATCCAGCACCAATGACTCACCAAAACAGGGAACACTCTCCTAGAAGATGTAAGGCACATTGCCTCTACCTCTAAGTCTCTCCAACAAGTTGGTACAACAGGATTTGAATAATATATCCCATTCCAATAGCATTTAATAAATTCTCTGGCAAGTTTTTTCCTTCTGCTATGAAAGCTACCCTCAGCATTTACCATCATGGGGAACGATTACTAGCAGGCACTCACAAGGACCATACAGCACAGAGGATGGATGGAAAAAAGACTAAGAACTGAGCCACTCACATGATTTTCTATGGAGCTCCTTAAGCGTCTTTATCTTGGTGAATTTCACGTGCTTAAAAATGGTTATTTGCCCATCTTTCTCACATCTGTGTGTATTATACACACACACACAAATAAGTATAACTAAATTTTCCTACATATCTTACGAAGTTTCAGGCAAAAAATGCTAGACTCCAAATGGTTTATTTGAATGTAAGTATTGACCTTCTCATGCTCTTACTGCTTCGCATCTATAAATTGAAATCATTTGTCAAGCTGCCACTGGGCCAAACTACAGGAATGCAAACAAAAAAGCTTGCATTAGACGGATCACACCAACATTGTTTGAAACGGGTTACCTTTTTTGCTGCCTGTTCTTCTTCTACACCATCCCCAATTACAACATATACTACTTTTCTGCCAAACCTTTGCATTATTCGTTCAAAGCAACTTTCTTTTCCTGGAAGATAAACAAGATAAAGTTCAGAGTGAAGTTACCTGGTTAGCGGCATGCTCCTCATCTCGGCCATCTCCAATCACAACATAAGTTATGTTAGTGCCAAATCTGGACACTATACGCTCAAAACAGCTTTCCTTGCCTGAAAAACAATGCACTGCTTATTCTTCCAGCCATTGCAACCGTTAACCTAAAGATTCATACAGTGTTAAGTTACTTTCTCTTGAATGTCCATCCCTTAAACTAGCTTGCAAATTCCGGGTTTCTGGAATCAACAAGTTCGGTTGAATCCTCAAAGTCTTTACTTGAGACAGATGGTTAAACAAATGCATCTTGCACACCAAAAGAGCCAGCAGGGTTAAACATTTGACCCAGAAAAAATGTTAGTACCCTTCACTCCACCAAAAGAATATAGGAACAACCTTATAAGTGACTATCAGTTTTAACATTTATTTGTGTAATTCTACACGTCAATTGTACCTAGTTTGTTCGAAGAAGTATAGACACGTCAGCTAAAAATATTATTGTGAAAAATTAAAGGTTCACCTAGAAGGAAAGAGGAAATACTAAGATATGGAGTTACCTGGATAAACAACTCCTTTCTTCAAGCGTCTGGGTGCTAGTCTGCTCAGATTAATTGTACTAAGGGTACTGTCTGCTCGGGCCACAGCACTGGTGACACCAGTACCCTCTAATCGTTCTATGGAAATAACACCACGAAACTTCTACGTGTTCTTTGTCTTTACAACATTGGCATGATTCTCTGAATTTCATTCCCAGAACGCTTACGCAATCATGGCTACTTTCGCATTTTTTCCCCCTTATTCTGATGTTCAGAACTCCAAAAAATACTAGATTAGAGGGAAAAAATGAAATACAGATGAAATACAAGGAACAGTTTGGCCAAGAAGAACCTTGTCCTTATTAGAGGAAATGTTTATGCTCGTGTGGAAACTATTTAACTTATCAAAAAGCAAAATCAGGTTTGATACATATTCATCCTGCATAAACACACACATCTATGTACGAATTGAATGGGATTGATATCAGGGCCCTTAAGTGCAGCACTCAGGACAATGAGGAATTTACTTTATGAAAGCTTGGCTCTCTTGAACCATACTCCCCAAAACAGCTGCAACTGGGGGCTTTCTCTGACTGTGCCAATGTCAGAACTCTGCAGGGTTATTTTTGGTAGGGGATTTTAGGATTCTAAACTCTTGTCAAGCTGCCAGAGCCTAAGTCTGTTGACCTTCCGGGCACATTATACAACCCATCTATTTCCCCAGGCATTTCCTTGACAGGCAACAGAATCCATGAGTTGTTTTCTTTTAACTCTTTCACACAGCAGAAATTGGTGAGATGTTGTTTTTGAAAGTTTACTTGAAGTCTTAAGTCTGTGAAAGGCACTTGTAAGTCAAAGATGGCTCCACAGATAGATATGATCTAAATAAACTAGGTTGTAGCTCTTTGATTGTTATTGAATATTTTTGGAAATGTGGATTTCCAGCCATTCATGCATTATGAATGCTCCAGTTATGTTTGCTGATTCATGAAATTCTTTTTTTTTCTGGAATTAAGGATACTCATCTGACACTCCTTTGTAATGCCAAAACAGTATTTTTACCTTAGATCTAGGTTATTGCACATACAAGGATGTAATACCATATACCATATTAATTAAAATATAAAATACTATGGCTTAAGATACTGTATATTATTTAGATAACATGTGCCATAATGAAATATAAATGTGTGTATGTGTGTGTATGTGTGTGTGTGTGTGTCTGTGTGTGTGTATAGTCAGAACTATCCAGATACTGAGTTCAGAATTCACAGGCAACACTTTTCACAAGATGCACACGTATACAAAGAGTTGCAGGCAACTTTGTTATCTGAGCTGTATTCAAATTTGCTTGATACTCTATTTTTTAAAAAACAGGTTTATTTATTTAACTTTTGGGGGGGTAATTAGGTTTATTTATTTATTATACTTTTAGAGGAGGTACTGGGGATTGAACCCAGGACCTCCTGCGCGCTAAGCATGCACTCTACCACTTGAGCTATCCCCTCTCCTTGCTTGATATTCTGATAGAAAAACTGATGAAAGAGGGAATCACACAGAAACATGCATGAAGAACATGTCCCCAAACACAGATGTGAACATATTCCATACAGAGTTAGAAATAATTTCCTTACCTATTTTAGTTGCACTGTAAATATTCTCAATGGGAAAAGCACCTCCTAAACTATAGAGCAGAACTTTCGCAAGTGCTGGGATCAGCTGGGTCGTCGTCACCAGGACATTCACGCAGTTACTCCTAAGACAGGGAGGAGACAGGCACATTTGTCTTCTAAGACTAAATAACTTCTAATGTACACATTTTAAATGATCATTGCAGCCTCTCGATTCCATAATCAATGGCTGCTGATAATCTAATTGTTCAATATCAACAGTTATTTGTGGTGCCCACCACCTGGGAGGCACAATGACATCCCAAAAAGAAGGAAGTGAAGGAAAATAAGCAAAAAGAAGTTTGCCCCCACCCCCTCCAGCCAGAGCACAAGCTAGACAAGAAGACAGACAAGTAAACAGACCCCCACAATAAGAAATGTGTTCTAGGACAAAGGTCTCCTCCAGTCCCTGTGGAAACCCACAGAAGGATACCTACTTCGGCCAGCAGCAATCACGGGAAGGTTATCGGAGGGGTCATGGCTTAGCTCTAAGTTTTACAAGTATGCAGCTTTCTTAAAATTTGCACATGTACAAAGAGCTGCAGGGGACTTTGTTATCTGATGCAGATTAGGTTTCTTTTAGGGCGACAGGACTCTGTGTCCTAGGGTTTTCAGAGCCTAGGAAAGTAGAGGACACAGTCAGAGAGGAGGTGATGGTACGGGGAGAAGTTTTCAGATTTTGTTTAAGAAACAGCCCAGAGAGACTCAATCGAGGGATTGACAAGTGGTGGAACCTGAAGAAGTAAAAATGAAGAGGATCCTTATTTACAACAGAAGGGGTTGAATCCCTGAATCTCCTTCTCCACAACCAAGGGCAAACTGCATTTACGGGGTCCAGGTTTAAACACAACTACAAAGGCTCTACCCTTTGAGAGTGAAAATCTCCCATTTTGCAGTTAACAACTGTTTCTTTCATGGTAGCATCAGGGGGAGACAAAGGAAACACCAAGACAGTAAAGATTGTTAGCCTGAAATCCAGAAAAGAATGGACTGTGGCCCTTCCTTCTGGATTACAGGGAAACGGAACAGTCCGGCCTGGAGAGGCTCAAACCACACATGTGAAATTGGGAATCGGAAGGCATATGGCTATGCCCTTTTCTCTACTGGATATTCTGTATCACAAGCCTTTACTACATATTTGTGTGGGGCCCATAAAATATTCTCTAGAATTCCGCAGATTGATTTGCAGAAAATTGGTCTCAGGGGCAACTCAGAAAAGCAAGTTGACTGCTAACTTCTCATGGGTAAGTGCTTGGTCCGCAGCACGCTTCGTATTATGCTTTATGCAATTTAGACATATGCATAAGGAAAACTATAATTTATTCAAAAACAATTATTAAACCTTTATAATGATAGCCTTTCAAAACATTTTTTCATTTCTAAACTATCTCCAGAGACATGGGACCTTGTAATAGGAGCTCCGACTTCTGGAAGCAGGTGATGAGGTTTATCAATTTTTATGGGACAAAGAAACAAAGACTTTGAGATGTGGAAGTTTAATAAGCATCTTCAACACAATCCTAAATTTTACTAATTAAAAAAAAAAGAACTAGAAAATGACTTGCCTATGATCAGACAAAAATTCCCCCAATAGTGGCAGATGATTAAGAATAATACACTAACACGTGACGACACTGTGACACAATGTTCTATCAAAACAAGGTGCTATTCAACGTCATATACAGATGAAGGTTACAGAAGGAAAACATGGTGAAATAAAACAAAGCACAGGCTTTTTAAAAGTTTACAGGTGTAGTTTTGAATTCCAGCTTCACCACTCACATTATATGATATTTGGAATTACATCTTTTCATTACAAACAGCACATATTTATAAATTGCATATATATACACGTTCATAAAATGCAGGCAAATAAGGAAGAAAATGAAAAGCATCAATTAGTAACCACCCAGAGACAGAAACTGATCTCCTCATTCTGAGTATTTACTTTCAGAGTTTCAGTTTACATATAGATTTTTTTTCCCATTAGGATCTAGTACATATATAATTTTGTGTTTTACTTTTTTCATTTGTTTATATCATGAGCCTATTTATTTATGTCACAGTGTCTTAACATTTTCCCTCTCCCAACAAAACCTAATAGATGCAAATTATTCTATCCTGTGGCTCCACCAACATCTTTTAAAGTTAAGCTTAGTGTTTGATTTCTTAATATTACAAATAACGCGACCTCACAAATTTTTCCTATACATATGCTTATGTCCTTTAACTATATTCACAGAAGAGGGATTACAGCCAGAGGGCACATACTTTGCTGCAGGCTCTGATACAGAATTCAGCAGCATCTGCTTTTCTGATATCCTAGATGTTTTGTGAAATTTACCAATCGGGTAATATATGTGGACAATGTGGCAAATTTCACAGTACTTAAAACTTCAATATGTAATGCCTTAATTTTCCCTTTCCTTTTCTTGTCATAGAACAATTGATTAAAATCATATACCCATGAAGTTGCTTTAAGGCCATGTATTAATAAGAATCTACATATAATATATTATGGGTAACACACAGATAATCTATTTGACAATGCAATAACCTTTGGTTTTTAACTATCATTAGAAATAATGAAAGCATCGTCCACTGTATTTTACACACATTCGGGGGTCGGAGCCCTCACATTCCAGCTTCTTTGTCCTTTGGTTACCATGTCACCAGTCACAGAGATCACAGGCAGAAAGTCCTATTTTAGAACAGCTTTAATGGTTAGACAGTTCTTCCTACAAAGAGCCAGAACCTCCCTTACTAGGATTCTTACTCATCGGTACCCTTTCCTCTACAGACTCAGAGAGAAATGTCATTTATTTTCAGCGTAATAGCTCAAACAGCTGAAATCTGTAATCGTGTTCCACACATGGCTCTTCTTCAGACTAAACTCTGGTTCCTCCCTCTAACTGTCCCTTTTATGTGATTTCCATAGCCTAAACCCTTCTGGCCACTTTGCTGGACACAAGATGCTTCAAACATGTCACAGCTCCTGTAGGAATGAGGTGCTCAGAACTGAGCAATGTACTCTGGATTTCCCAGCCTGACCCAGGAACCTACTGTGCCCTCCCCTCTCCATTTAGATTTTCTGCTATCAACATGATGGCTGGTCGTGTCACAGGGCTGGAAGCCACGTGCATCATTTGGGACATGCCGTTCACTTCCATGTTCTGAATACTGGACTCTCCTTTCACCCTGCCAGGGTTTCTCTGTTTCTTGATTCAATCAGTTCACATACAAACTCTTCTCTGAATTTTGCGTTACCCACACATTTGCTAAGTATGGTGTTATTTATTCATCCAACTCAGAAACAAAACTAAAGAAAAGAATAGTACAAAGATTTAGCCCCACCTTACTAGCGATCATCTTCCAGTTCACATTATTTTATTAATTTACATTTATGGCACATGGTATTCAACTAGTTACATCTATTCAACTCTATTATCTACATTAACAAGTCAGCATTTCATTGTTTAGATCAAACAACACAAGGGAGACACAATTTTCAGGAGCTTTCTCTTGTGTTTTGATGTATTTAAATTATGTTTATTATCTAGAATGGCCTAAAAGACTTACAAACGTGCATTCACTGTATAAACAGTATGGTTTTATTTTTGCCATCATCTCCTCTCCTTACTTTGCCACCAACAGAGTGCTGTCTTTTTTTAAAATTTGGAATTCAAATGACATTCCCATGGGGTTTGTCAGGGGTTATGAGGAGAGAAGGGTAAAGGTAGAATCTTCTGGTTATTCTGAGAAGCAGCAACTCCCATCCTCCACCCCAAAACACACACACACACACACACACACCACACACACAGTGAATTGTTAGGTCCCTTCAAACTCTAAAATAGTCTGGGAATTAAAACACTTTTGTATTTGTTATGCTATTAGAACTCCATCCTCAATACACATAGGAACTGCAAAGACACCGCTTACCTAGTACTAATGATTGATAAAGATTTAAGTGCATTTGTTAGCCAGGAGTCTGTCAGACCTTCTATCTCGGCCCTCAACTGCAGCCACGCGTCTCTCTTGGCAGGGCCAAGGAGTCCTGCAACACCAAAAAGCAAGGCAGAGTCAGGAGATGAACATTTTTCAGCAATGCCTAGTTTGGTCTCCCTTCTGTCTAGTATAGGTAATTTCTCTTCTGCCTATATCAGAAATGAAGAGAGAGATGGATATCAACACGGATCCTTTGTTTCAGAATTGATCATCCATCCATTCATTCACTCATTCATTCATTCCACAAACATTTATTGAATAACTTTTGGATGTTGGGTTCTGGGCTAAAAATTAGCGATGTGACAGTGAAAAGTGGGTCTCTATCCTTATTGATCCTAGCATCTGGCACAGTGGACACCAATCACCCGAGGAGCTTTGACGACACCCCAGCCTGGGTCCTACTCCAGAAGACTGATACTATAGGCCTTGAGGAGAAGTCCAGCTCTACCAGCCCAGAGATACAAATCTCAAATTCCGTGGCTGTCTGAAAATGCTTAGCTTCCTAATAATCACAATCATCACCACTGTGAAACAGTAATAATGACATTATCACATACAGCTATGGAAATGTATAGAATTTGTTTTTATCATTAGTGCTCAAGCTATCAGAAATACTTAATTTTGTAAAAAGGGGTTAAGAGTTTTGTTTAAAATCCTAGAGCTTGATAGAGCATGGTTGAAAACTACATTGATTAGAAAAAGAGAAGAGGTAAGCATACCAATTTCTTACTTAAAAAGCCCTCCCTTTCGTGATAAAACAAGATCACATAAGTTTATCAAAAAAGAAAGTTTCTTATTTAAATCATATTTCAGAATATTGGGAGTACATATAGAGGTGGATAATTTTTTAAATCATAATTTATAGTTTCTGGCAAGTCTCATTTGTCTTCATTTCAATAAAGAGATGCTAACATCACAAAAAAAAGGATTCATCTCTCATTGTTTAAACTTTTTAAGCTATAAGACTATTAGTAATCTTATCAATTTTAAAATGATTTTAATAATACCCTTTAAGAGGGAAATGACACACCTGAATGATAAAAGTTCATTCATATTTCCCAAAGGATATTTATTCTAAAGTTAAATTGATTACCTACAATTGATTTTTAATAGAATAGCTATTTGTTTGATTTTACAAAATTGTCTTCTGTAAAGTGTTAGAGTGAAATTAGGAAACCTGAGTTGTCTGCCTAGAACTCCGGACAAGTCAGTAGCCTGCAGGAGCCTATTTCTTATTTGGAAATGAAAGACTTCCACATCTAAGCTCCATTTGGTTCTAGCATTATTATTGTGTATGGTTCTATGTGGTTTTGTTCTTTTGTAGTTACTGAGTATCTACTGAGCATCTATTATGTGCCCCAAGGCTAACTAGGCACTGGGGATACAGACACACAACCCACCCTCACAATGTGTATGGTGTGTGTAACATATATACTACAGATGAAACCTTTATTACTACATTGTACTCTCTGAATATAGGTGAATATACACATCTATAGTATGCACAAATATAGTTAGCTTTATCAATTTTAGTTTCCAGTTTATACTCCTCAAACATCTTTCTGTCTAAAAAAAGAGACACAAAGAAACAAAAAAACCCTGGGAGAAGAATCTTATGTGACCTCATAACTAATCCTAGGATCGTATTGACCTGAAATTGATCCTAATAAGAGAAAATCAAGGTTTATTATACCAAGAAGCACATCCAAGATCTTAGTTTTGAAGTCACAGGTTTTGATATCACCTGTAATTTCTGAATGAGTATAAAATGGTTTAGCTACAACCTACAGAGTATTTGGACTTTTGAAAACCATGGTGTAGTTAACACAATACATGGCAAAGGTATATTTTCATATAACATGCAATTTTTAAAAGGATAAAATAGACTTGTTGAAGTCTTTGAAATGACATAAAGCACTGTTTAGATTTCTTTTTGATAGGATTCCAGAAAGGTCATGATTGCTAACAACTCTGCTTCAGTGACGGGGGTCTTCCTTCCACGGCCTCCATCAGTGCCTCTATCTGGTTCTCACTGACAGCGTCCCAGATGAAGAAGGGTAAAAGCACCGTCCTGCTATTAATTGTGACCAAACAGCCAGGCACAAAGAATCCCTAATTCTTTTGACAATGCTGCACGTTTTATTTTGCAGTTAAGTTTTCCCCCCACTCTCCCTACTCTAAGAAACTTAAAATTCTGGCTCACGGAGTCCAGCAGGAGCTCTTGGCAATTGATTTTAAAGAAGGATAGTCCCTGACATGAAACATGAAACCACAGTTCAAATTGTACCTCTATCTACAGTACCTTTATTATACTGTAAAAGCCAAACATACCTCCCACATTGTTCTTGTAGGTGTTGTATAATTCTTTTACTCTTCTGTAACGAAAAGCCAACTTCCTCATCCAGTCAACCCCTCCTCTTACACCTGTTGGCAAACAAAGGTTTGCACTACTTGCAGCTGCATGGAAGCCATCAGTTGCAAAACTGTAGGTACTGCAACACCCAAAATACATTAAAAAGAAATAAAAGAAATAATTACATGTGCAAAACTTCACAGCTGAATTTCTGTAGGAAAGAGCATACTGAAAGGCATGGCTTACCTTAAGTCCTGCCCATTATCATCAGAGGAGACATCGTCTATGTGAACTTGGTCACACTCCTGTTAAAAACAGTGAGAAAGTTGTTTTTCAAAGGATGCTCAGCACCAAGGTTGAAGCTCTTTCCGTCTCGCCATTTGATCAGGCTGTGGCCAGAAGATGGCAGCATCTGCCCATTCATCCCACCCTCGCACGCCAGGAAATGGCCCCATTTCTACTCAGTGAGATAGAAGCCCAGAAGAGACCCGTTAAAAGGGGCCTGAAAACATGTGGGCTTATTTAGAGGAATTGAACCAATAATTGGAATCTTAAAATTATTGATAAGAAACTCTCTTTTGAATCTTTACAAGAATCATTGGTGTTCACTCTCAGGCATCTCTGTTGTGCATGCTTAAGTACAGAAGCAAAGCTAATCTGAAGATACTCAAAACTTGTTTGGTCTGAACACCTCAGGGAGTTACTATTATTTATTATTTGTTGAGCAACAACAGAGGGGTTTGATGATTATGATGTCCTGGGAGATCCCTCTAACTTCCTGCTTTTTGCTGGGCCAGTGATACCATGAAAGAACCGTGTTGATGTTATTTCAAAAGTCCTGGTCTTTCGACACAGCAAATAGCTAACCATCAAAGTCAATAATTCTTGTTGCTATACAAGTTTTTAAATCTTTACACAGAAATGAATACTGAAAAAAAAGGGAAATAATGAAGATTTTTCATCTCCAATGTACTCTGAAGTCAGAGGAGAATAAAGTTGAGGACCATAAATACACCCACACAATTGACCTGACTTAGAGTGTACTCAGCAAAAAGCAGTAAGTTTTCTGGAGAAGATTTCAATTCTTCTTTGGTGTTCTGAGAATCCTTTTCTATCTTTGAGTAATCTGCAAAGTTTCAATGAAACAGTACATGATTCTAAAGGTGGAGTTTGGCTAGGGCATTTCAACACCTAATGCCTCCTAACCTCAGGGTAAGTATGATTCTCCCTTTGGGGCTTCTTTTTCCCCCTCAAATCATTCCAATTATACAGAGTCTGACTGTGTATACACTGCTTATCATTCAAAATCAATTTTGAAAAATCATTACATTTGAAAACAGGATGCCATACTACAGGTTTTTCAGCTACTATTTGTAATCACTCTAGGGTTTGGGAGAATCAGGTAGTAAAATATTTAACTGTCTCATCTCCAGCTTTCCACACTGAGTGTATTAGCTCCTACTGCAGTCTGAGGATAAATTAGTTGGCTCAAGTTTCTTTTAAAATATAAAACTTAGTGAGTAGCCCCATCAACACAATTTTAGCACATAACTTGAAAGTCCAGGAAAATTCATTTTAAAGGTTCATATGATTTACATATATTATGGGTAATTTTTGAATAAATATATTCATAGGTAGGGAAGGACCTTGGGAAGTTAATCTGACTGGAAGCTGCCTGAGGAGGGGGGTTTGGGCCTGCATATATGCTCACTTAAGGCACAATCTGGCACAAAGTAACGATTCTTTGTTGAATAAATGGCAGAAGACTAGACAGACAAAGTTCATGACAGAATTGCCACAATTACTTAAATTTTCATAACACAAAGTTCTGGTGATAAAAAATAATAATGTTCTAGATGGTAAGGACTGTAAGAAGAGGGCAAGAGAAGAGAATGAAGCGGGAGGAAAGGGGGCAGGGCATAACCAGTGAAGAATGACACAGCTGCCGAGGATAGGACACACTGGTTACAACCAAGATGGCAGCGTATTCAACTTCCAGTAGACCCTGAGCCTCATGGCACACCCACAGGCACCCTGACAGTTCCCAGGCCGACCATAAAAACTCAAGAAGTGGGTGAGGGAGGCATCTCCTGGAAATCCTTGCCTCTTCCCCAGAGTAGTTGGAATAACCCTCCTATCCATTAGCATATGAAATTACTGAACCCATGAAACCTAACAACTCCATACCTCGTGGTTGCTCTCTCCCTCTTGCCTTCTGAGACAGTCCACACTGTATGGAGTGTGTATCTACTTTTACTTTAAACTAAACACCCCAAATACCTCTCAGCTTCTCTCCCTCTCACCTTTCTGAGATGGCCCACATCCTGCCTATGGAGTGTGTATCTCCTAAGCCGTTTTCCCTTCTGAGTGAGACAGACCGCACCTTGTCTATGGAGTGTGTCTGTCTCTAAATAAACTTTCTTTCACTTTACCATGACTTGTTCTTGATTCTTTCCTGCACGAGGCAAGAACCTATTCTCCCCCAACAAGAGGATGTTGGAGTCATGGCAGGACGAGCATTAAAAAAACGTTCTTTCTCATTTTGACTATTTGTTGAAAGAAGCAGAGCCCAAATTTTAACCAAAGAAGGCATTATGCTTCCAGAAAGTTCTCAGAGAAAAGTATTGCAAGCAACAGCAGTAGCTGTGGGATTGGGCTCTAAAGGAAAGGCTGAAGAGATTTAACCAGTTAGCTGGAAAGCTAGAAATAAAAGATCTTCTCCCAGAGCTGCAGCAATCCAGTAGTTCTAGACGACAAGGATTATTTCTTATCAAGAGCTGGTGACATTCTTGGTAAGTATAAAGACCAAATTAAATCACTATTGAAATGGCATTACGTGTGCTGATTCCATGAAAGTTCTGAAATCTTTCATCATGTAAATAATTTCCACGTCTCTACTTTATAATAAATTAATGCTATAAAAAGGGGGGAGCCTTATGAATTATACTGGTAATTAGAAGTTATTTCTATATTTAATACCCTCTCATTCTAATTTTTAGAGAAATTCCTCTGACATTTCAAGTATTAACTCGCATGATTAATTTGTACATTTTGCCCCCAAATTTATTTTTTACTCCTGAGGACATCAGTATATCAAACTTATTGGACCGTGAGTTCCATATTTAAAGTTATGTTTGAGGTTTTTCCAAATGGAACTTCTCTCTAAATTTATGCCTAGTTAACTGTGCCTGTTGACTCTGGACTCCTGCCCAAGGATTACAGTCCAGTGAAAGAAACCTGAACTTCAATCACTTACACTTTTAGAAAAATCTAAATAATTATTTGTCAATTAGTCTTCACTCAGAGCAACTTTGCAAGAATCATTTTGACCCAAACCTAAAATACTAAAAACCATGTAATGCTTTGGCTTTAACATATTCCAGTGTAAGAATTCAAACATTTGGAATAATTCTGGCCCTAACGTTAAATTCTTTAATTCTGTCTCATAAGGCGGCTGCAAACTTGTCACTGATCTTTATCTGTTATAATCCATAATGGTCTTCTCTCACTTTTGTGAGCCCACACTCCCTGGTGTCTTCTTTCCTGGAAGTTATTTTAACTGAAATAACATTTTATTTAAATGAAGATCATTCTCTTCTTCGGGGCAGTGGTGTGAGCATCTGCCTTCTCTGCAGTTGGACAGGAGGTAGTGAAGTGTGTCCATTAGGAGGATTTAAATTTGTATCTTTTAAGGAATTATGTGAAAGCAGCTGCTCCTACATATGTTGCAGTATCTACTGAAGGATTTGAGTCTCAAATAAGACTTTTAGGTTAAGAAAAGGAACCCTGAGAGATTAAATACACAAGGGAAAAATGAACATAATAGGCTAAAGATGGAGTTACTCTCTTGAGGAATTCTCTTTGTCTGTAGAAGCAGACATGGCTTAATACCAGTTGTGAAGTTCACGGCAATCATTGCTTGTAAGAAGTCTACTGAAATAAAAAACTGGGTGAGAGTTTCAAAATCAGATGCAGAAGCAGAGTGGATATGCATGTAAGTGTACTGAACGATCTTGAAAGCTCTTGTTTAGATTTTAATAGTTTCAGTGCCTGTTTGTCTCACTTAAGTTAGTATGAAGCCTTTGAGTTTCTTTGGGCACTTCACCTGGACGTGTACGCACATATGTGGCACGTACGTGTGTCTGTGCATGAATGAGAATTCAACCAGCTTATACGCAGAGATTAAATCATTTCATTGATTCAGTACATTATTGTTGGATACAAAGGTTTATTAGCCTTTGAGTCAAATGGAATTTTTATCACATTCTAAAACACAACTGAAAAACTATAATCACAGAAGAGAAAGTCAATGCCAGTATTTTCTCAGTTACTATTTCTACCAGAGATCCTGCTGGGTATTTAAAAAATATATTTTATATAGTATCTAATCCAAAATAAAAATTCTTAGCCTACCACATGGCTCTGATATGCCAATATTTACATCACACTTGCTAAAGGTATATTCAAAACCATTATAAGCTACTCTCACTTTCTCGTTTTAGTGTTCTGTCAGAGGCCGGGCGGTAAGTTTATTCCATCTGGCTTTGAATCTGCCACTAAAAAAGCTAGAGGGTCATTTATCTCAAACAATAAATAAAATGAAATAAAAACTCTAAAACTTAGATAAAACCACATAAAACTTCCTTTTTTTTTGTCTTTTACAGGTTTGAGAGGACTAATAATCTTAGAATTCTTTTTAGAATGAGCCTCATTGATTTTACTCAAAAGAAAAACCCACCTAAAAAGTTATCACCATATATGTATAAAAAAGCCAAGTTTCCAAATGGTTACAGTGTGTTTCCTACTATCATGTATATGTAAAATCATTCTGTACACTAGACAGTAATAAGTAGCAGGACTAATTTAAATCAGGTTTTAGAGAGGTGATTATTATTTCTTATTATCTAAAACTGGAATAATTGCCTAAGACTACTGACCTTTCATAGTTTCTGTTAAAGAAAAATAAAAGAACCGTCTTTAAATGGAATTTAAATTTTATTATCTAGTAAAAACAATGACTCACTGCAGAAAGAACAAGAAAGAAAATGCTTTTACACAGATTTCCAACACATACTTTTATGGGATATACTGAATAACACATCTTTTACTCATGTCTCAAATGTAACTAAAACTGGATTTAAGACCTTGTCAACTTATTTAAGACACTGACTAACTTGGCTTATCTTGCTCACACATGTCTGTTAATTTCAGCCTAGAACAGGGCAGAGTATGCATTCTGGAGCCAGACAGAATCCAGAGTTTCAAATCCTAACTCAACCACTCAGTAGGTAACCTTAGATGTGATTTTTAAGCTGGCGGACCTACAGTTTCTTCTCTACAAAAATAATGTGATAAACATATTTATTCAAAAATGTTGTTGCTGATTAATTGATTAATGGAAAGCCCAATATAAAATGCCAAGCACAAGGTAGGGATTCAGTAATAATAATCTCCACCTTCATCCATAATGTTTATAAACACTTTTATTTCATGATGAACCCATGAGATTAAAAAAAATAAATCTGAATGGGTCATTAAAAAAACCTATTTCAGCATCATTGTGCTTGACAGAGAAGAACTTCTCAGCGCTCCAGCAACTCAGCTATTTCAAATTTTATTGTCTGAATGCCTAATAACTTAGATCATACACCTTATTACAGGGCTTACTCAGCCTTCTTGAGGCTATTTTTACTTGGGTCCTTTCAGTTTGTTGTTACTGCTTTTACTTTCTCTTCATTTGAGGTTGAAATGGAAAGGTAAATTAAGAAAAAAAAGAGAAAATAAACGCAATCAAATCCATCAGAAGTGCTAAGTAAACAGTTCTTGCACTGTTTTATCCAGAAGGGGAGGAAACAAGAAATAACAATGTCTTGAATTAGGTTTCAGATTACCTACAAGCCTTAATGACGCATTCTCCCACCAGGAGTAGTATCTGTGATTACTGTGTGGTCATTAACATAAACAGCATCCTGGTTAGTAACCTGGAAGAGCTAGTCATGATTCCAACGGAGGAATGGGTAGTGGGTGAGACACTAAAAGGACCAGGAGGAGTGGATAAGGGTGTAATGTATGGGACGGCAAAGCAGACCTTCCCCTTTCTGGAGACTTTTTTTTGTTTTAAATATATGCCAGTACATACGTACAATTCATCAACACAACTTAGCTTCCGTTTACATTTGCATATACAGTGTTTCCCCTTGGGAGGAACTTTACTGTTCTCTTGAGCTAAATTTCTATCTTTCAGTTTTTTTTTCAGGTTATCAGCACATATAGACATCATATAGGAGTTTTAGTAGTTGGCTCCAAATATTCTTACCTTTTTAAATTCTTACCTCTAAATCATTGAAAAATAAATGTGTATCAGCAAGATTAAAAATCATCTCCTCCATTCGGAGTCCAAGGGTTACAGCCATGGGGGGGTCCTGAAAAGGAAAGGCACGTATAATGAAGTAAATCTGCAGTAACCACAGTTACTTGAAAAATATTTTAAGGGCATATGGTTGTGGGGGGCTGTATACATTTTCAACCCCGGAGTCAAAGATTTCCCAATGATCAGAAAAAGGTGCCTTTCCAAAGAGTTATAAAACATACTAAACATGTTGATACATCTGTGAATTTATAGGCATTAACAGGCACAGAAAGATGACTTAGATACATTTTCACATAAAGCTATATGTTCATGAGAGGAGGAAGAAGAAAGCAAGCTAGTTCATAGAACCCAGTTTACATATGCTCCATGCAAAGTCCTTTGGAGAGAGATACTTGGATAGGATACTGAAGAATAGAGCAGACCTGTTAAAAAGAGGAAAGGACGTCTTTTTAAGAATGACAACAAATAAACTCAGAAGAGAGAGGGAAGCAGGTCTACTGGAAGTTTGTAGGACCTGAACAGACAGTGTTGTCTGGAAGTGGGACAGGAAGAGCTGGCAGGGCACAGTGGAACCACAACTTCATTATTAATTGCATTTTGATAAACAGGCAATATTTATTTGAATATGTGTATAGTATGATATAACCTGCATTTGACTAGGGATGAAGGGGGACAGGTGGAGGATGACATTAATTCAGTGAATGTAATATATAAATATATAAAAATAAAATACATACATCTAGAAGTTTAGTGAAAGTAAGGAGATTAGTAAGGAGTCAAAGTGATTTAAGTTTTGTTTACAAAAATCAAGAGATTACACAGCAGCAAGGAGCTGAGAATCAAGACCAGAGTCGGTACTTTATCATAATTAGTTCCAGTTGAAAGCCTGGCATAAAGGGGTATAAGATTTTGAAAAGTAAGGAGAGTTTAGGGATAGAGCTAGGAAAATAATTCATGCACAAACGTTGTGTTTAACATGATCAAGATGGAATGATCGCTGAAGAACCGCTCGAGATGTGACTCTGGAGATGAAAAAACAGAAAATGAGGAAGGGACAACTCAGAATCTGAGACCAGAATGGGTGTTAGCAGGGAGAAGAAAATGGCTTCAAATAAAGCTGACAAGCCTAGAAGGCTACTATTGGTTTTGGCTGAGAAGTTGTTTAGGAAGACCTCTGAGGGTGACTCAGGTTGAGTGTCTGGGCCAGGAGCCAGATTAGGGATTTGAGGAGAGAAAACCAAACTTGTGTTTTCAATGCTCTAATACATGGCATTTCAAGAAATGTATTTAAACTTGGGGAAATGTCATACTAACTTTCCTTCAATTTATGATAAGAAAATGCAACCCAGGTCAGGCCGAGCAGTATTTGTATACCCCCTTGAACTTACTCCACTCAGCAAGTAGAAGCCCTTCTTCATTCCACACCTATATTGCAACAACCAATTATTCCCCCCTGTACTTTCATAATGCTTTGCAGGGGAAAACTCTAGAGTGTAAATGTATTTGAAGAGAGTGTCAAGCCTCATCTTCCAGAGTGATGAAAATCTACGTAACAGGAGCTCAGTGCTGAGAAAGAGGTTAAGATGTTGAGCAGAGATAAGATCTGACGTGGGACACAAGATAAAAAGAGGAAAATCATAATATCTAGGGTGTCAATGTAATATTCTGTTTACATCTTTTTCTTGGGGATTTCTATGGATTTTATAGTTAGACATTCTCTCTTCTCAGAAATAGAGGCTTATTATTCACATGCTTGATGGCATCTTGGGATCGGGTCTCCTGGTCAGTGTGACTCCACCTTCAGGTTCATCTGTCTTCCAGCGACAAGATCATTTGGAACAACACACCCAAAGACCAAATAAATTCCATTTTATTCAACAAGTATCTATTCGTGAACAAGAACAAAAATATCAAGCGCCAATTTTATGTCTCAAGGAGTTTTGGAACTCAGAGGGATCTCTTGCTCTGTTTCCTTCAATTCTTTTTTCTTATTTCTTTCTGTTGTTGTTTGTGTTTTTGTTGTTGTTATTGAAAGAAAAATCTATGAAGGTGAAATTTTTTAAAAATGCACATTTGCCTTTTCTCTGCAAAAAATTCTCTATTTCTTCTTTCTCTCTTTTGTTACAGGGGGTGGTGGGGATTGAATAAGCTAAGGACACAGAAAACTTGTAAATACTCTGTCTAGTCATGGGACCATGAACAAAAAGTCTACAGAAATATCAGGAAAAATCAAATGTAATTATAGCATGAAAACATATAATTCCATTAGTGACGCTCTATGCTTTTGAGGAATGTTCACTGATGCAAGACAATAAAACTGAGCTGCACAGGCCTCCGTTATGTTTCTGATGATTACTGCCCTAAAGATATGTATTTCAGACGGGGGTTCAGAAATGCCTTATATAAAAGGTTTGCCTTTTCAAGATGAGCTTGGTTAAAAGTCTTACGATTTGCCTGTTTTTCTTTTTTAAGTTTTAGGTAAAATTACTGAGTTTCTCTTGTCCATGCCTCACATTCTTTGCATTTACAGATCAGATTTATGGGGATGGGAGAAAACACACTGTTCCTCTTTGATTGCTACTTTCATCGATCCCACGCTTCTGTAGTATGTAACATTCTATGCTACTCAAGCAGTGATAGGAAAATCCATGAAGAATGCATTTTGTGCATCTGATAGGCATGCAAACAAATATAATTTTTAAAAAAAAGAACAAGAATTCTCCACCAACTAAGCACAATGCATGGAATGATGAAAACTATATTTGAGCACTCCAATGGAATGCAACCCCACGGCACTGGAAGGGGCTGTACATTTGTTTTTTGAGCTATGGTGGTTCCACGTCATACACACTCCTACAGCCAGGACTTAGTAAGCATTTTGGCAAAATATTTGTTACCCGGGGAAGTTTTGCTCTGAGGTCTGCCGCGGTGTGAACTAGCTGTATTTTACTAAGGTTTCCAGAGAGTGAGGTCTGTTGAAAGGGAGGTGTTTCGTCAGCCATGCCAAAGTCTTGGCACAGAAGAGGCAGGGACAGCCATGCCACAAGCCAAGGAAAACCATGCCTGTAAGAGGTGGTGATCTTGTTTCTAAGCGAATGCTGAGTGGGGGCTTTCGTTCAAATGTCTGATTTTACTTTTTTTTTTTTGGACCAGCTTCCTAAGTCACTGGGACAGCTATTTCTAAGTGAGCAGATTCCAGGACCCCATTTTTCTAGCTAAACCACCCACAGATGTAAGAATCCAGGAAAGATGAGCAGGAATTTGGTGGGGTGGCCTTAGCAAGGTGGTTGTCATGATGGACACCCTCTGCCTTGCCAGACCAGTAGGCGGGAGATGCTGGAGCCTGCAATCTCATGGTTTTATCAGGCATTTGAGAGTTAAATATACTTCTGGACTGAAGTTTTTATACAGAGGCTTTATACAGAGATGTTTGCTCGTTTTCATTAGATGCCTGCACAATTATGGGCACCTTATGAGTCAAGAGTTTCTGCCATTTTTTCAGTTTAACTGTAGTGAGTGTTTAGTTTAGGGTCTGAAAGGAATTGACAATGAAAAGTTGGATAGAGGGAAAAAGTGGGATAATAAGGCACTAGCAGGATTTTGTGGAATCTCTGACACATATTGTACATTCAGAACAGTTCCAGTAGGTTCAAAGTGTCTACAGCAGGGTTTAATATGGGGCAACCTGAACGTCTGCCAATTTACTCTGTGTACTGCTCTATGAAAATACCGAAACCATTCCCAAGACATTTGTGAGAGAGAGCGAGAAAGAGGTCGGGGGAGAAGGAGGGAGAGAGAGATGATGAAGAGAATGAGTAACTCTTGGCCCTTAAATATGTGATTCTAAGCCGGATGTGACCAGCGTTAACCAAGTCAGGATCAAGGACCGCACTTCTATCAAAATACTAACGCCTATTAGCCGTGTTAGCACAGAGCATAAATTGGAGCCAGACTGTCTGTCTATGGGCCTCTGCCCTGCACTGGGCCATCCGCTGGAATTCCTCCTCTAGGGACACACTGTAAAAATATCTCAGGAGAGGCAGTGATTATGTATTTTTAAAGAAATGGGGGATCTTTTTTTTTTTTGAAGAACACAGGCTCTTGGAACAGTTACTCCTTTGGGACCTGAAGCATATTTGGAGATGTGTACACACAGAGGCAGGAGATGCACAAGTTCATCAGGAAAAGGAACACAAACTAGCTCCACCAACCAAGCTGGAAAGAGCTCGAGGTTTTGTTAGGATACATAAACCCTTTTAACCAGTGACAAGAAATCCCATGGAATTCGAAAAGACAACCTACGGAATGGGAGAAAGCACTTGCAAATGATGCAACCAACAAGGGCTTATTTTCCAAAATACACAAACAGCTCATAAAGCTCAACATTAAAAAAACAGACAACCCAATCAAAACATGGGCAGATCTAAATAGACATTTCACAAACAGATGGCCAACAGGCACATAAAAAGATGTTCAAGATTACTAATTATTAGAGAAATACAAATCAAAACTATAATGAGGTATCAACTCACACAGGTCAGAATGGCCATTAAAAAGTCTACAAATGATAAATGCTGGAGAAGATGTGGAGGAAAAGGAACCCTCCTACACTGTTGGTAGAAATGTAAACTGGTGCAACCACTAAGGAGAACAGTATGGCAGTTCCCTAAAAAATTAAAAATTGAGTTACCATATAATCCAGCAGTCTAACTCCTGGGCATATCTCAGGAGAAAACTCTAATTCAAAAAGATATATGCACTCCACTGTTCATAGCAGCACTATTTACAACAGCCAAGACATGGAAGCAATCTAAATGTCCATCAACACATGAATGGATAAAAAAAGATGTCGAGATACACACACACACACACACACACACACACACACACACA